AAGTAATGTGTCTACATTTACAAACAACATGACCATCTATGTAAAAAATTCTATTGAATCTACCAAAAAAGCAATGAAACTAAAAATTTAGTTATGCAAAGCTGTAGAAGATAAATACACAATAATCAACTGTTTAAATCAGAAATTGAAATTAAAAACCTTTACAATAGAATGAAAAAATGTAAAATATTTAGAAGCAAATTCAAAGTGGATCATAATTCTAAATGTAAAACTTGAACCTATAAAACTTCTGGAAGAAAATCTTTGTGGTCTTGGGTTAGGCAAATATGATTCCAAAGGTAGAATTTACTGAAAAATAATAAATTGTATTTCAAAATTAAGAACTCTGCTCTTTGAAAAAGCCAAGTTTTCATTCTTTAATAGAATGAAAAGACTAGTCACAGATTGGAAGTAACTATTTGCAAATCACACATCTAATAAAGGACTTGTACTTGGAATAAAGAACTCTTAAAACTCAACAAATAACTCACTAATTGGAAAAGCAAACATCCCAAGTAAAAGAAAAAAAAGGTAAAATTTAAACAGACACTTCATCAAAAAGTATATTTGGATGCCAATAAGCACATTAAACAACATCAATAGTTATTAACAACATCATTAGTTATTAGAAAAGTGCAACTTCAAGCCACAATGAGATATCACTATGCACCTACTAGAATGGCTACAATTAAAAAGACTAACCATCTCAAGTGTTGGGGAGATGTGGAGTAACTAGAACTCTTACATACTGCTCCTGGGAATGTAAAATGGTAAATCACTTTGAAAAACGGTTTTTCAGTTTCTTAAAAAGTTACACAAATGTCTATCATATGGTCCAATCATTTTGCTTCTAGATATATCCCCAAGAGAAATAAAAGTTTATGTGCATACAATAACCTGTATGCAAATGTTCATAGCCACTTTATTAGTAATAGCCAATAACTGAAAGCAAGCCAATACCCATCAACAGCTGAATGAACAAATTTTAACGTATGCGTACAAAGGAATACTTCTAAGAAGTAAAAAGGAATAAACTATCAATATGTGCAACAGCGTAGATGCATCTGAAAATAAACATGCTGAATGAAAGAATACAGACAAATAAGTCTACGGACTGTATGAGTTCTGTGTGAAACTCCAGGTAATGCAAACTGTTATATGGTGACAGGAAGCTGGCTTGCGCTTTGGCCTAGTGATGGGAATGAGGGTTTATGTTCAGGAGCGGGATTTACCAAAGGGCGTGAGATGTTTCTGAGTGATGGGCACGCTCTTAACTTGATTGTGGTGGCGGTTTCACAGGTGTATACATACATCATAGATATATCATAACATTGTATTACCATTATGCATGAATAAAGCTGTTAAAAGAAATCAAACAAATACAAACCCAATGTGATTAGCCTGGTCAGCATCAGTCTTTTAAAAGAGTTGACCCTTGAACAACATGGATTTGAATTATGCAGACAGGTCCATTTATAGACAATTTAAAAAAAAATAAATATACAGTCTTCTGTATCCCTGCGTTTCATATTCATGGATTCAACCAACCACGGGTAGAAAACAGTATTTTAGATCCTTGGTTGGAAATGCATGGAAGTAGAGAGCCGACTGTATGCATTGTTCTATGGCATTTTATATAAGGGACTTGAGCATCCACAGATTTTGGTATCTGAGTGGGGGTCATAGAACCAATCTCCCTCAAACACATAGGGACAACTATAGTTAAGTTTTGGGGGAGTCAAAAGTTATATATGGATTTTTTACTGCATGTGGGGAGAGTCAGCACCACTAAACCTATTTCATCCCTAAGTTGTTCAAGGGTCAGCTGTACTCAATTCACATTGAGTGAGCACCTAAATAAATGGCCTATTGCCTTGAAATCATCACCCACAGTTGTGATGACTGGAGAATGCAGAACTTTCATTTGCCTACAAACACCTCATTTCCTACCCCACCTTCTACCCCACTTCCACACTTTCATCCCAGTTTATCCTTAGAAAGAGCCACCGCTTTCCACCTCCTGACCACAGGCGGATTGTCCACATAAAGCATCCATTGCCCTGGGTCTAACCTGCCCCTTACGGAGGTGAGCTATCTACTTCATCATTGCTCTTTCAGGGTTACAGTGCATGACAACTCTTTCCAATTTTGGAACACATTATCCAATTTGTTTATCTATTTTCCTACATTGATCACTAGGTTGAAAAATTTAGACTTAGCATGGGTCACGCTTCCACTGCTCCCCATATTTGCTTTCTGCATTCCACAATTATCAAAGTCAAAATGAGCAGGTGTGAATGCATTTTATTAAACTAAGTTTCTATATAATGGGAGGTATCATGATTATTGGGATACCAACTCAGCAAAAGGGGTGAATGGGGGAGGGGAGTAAGGTCCAGGCTAACCGGTCAGGGGAGCTGAAAGGTTCCATCCAGTGGGGCCATACTAATGCCTGGTCCCCTGAAGCAGTGAGTCCACACCCATGCAGACCCTTCCAGAGGGACATAACAGAGGCCAAGGTGCTCACTCTTATTATGATCAGCCTCTGAGAATTACATGAACTCTAAAAACTGTCTTCTCCAAACACACACAGATGGTGCAGAAAATAATTGCAGCCTGGCCGGGCATGGCTCAGCGGTTGAGCATTGACCTTGTATCCAGGAGATTGAGGTTTGATTTCCAGTCAGGGCACATGCCGGGTTGTGGGAGGCAGCTGATCAATGACGACTCTCTCATCATTGATGTTTCTATCTCTTCCTTTCCCTCTCCCTTCCTCTCTCTGAAATCAATAAACATATATTAGAAAAAATAAAAATTAAAAAATAAAACAAAAGAATTGCAAACAATTTCTAGTAGTTCACACACCTCCTGAAATCTATCCGTGGGTTGCCGGTTTAGAACCCCTAAGAAATAATTGATAGACGTGCCCAAACCCATTGGTCTTTCTAAGCTCTGTGGTGTTTGCTGGAACTTTCATCACTAGGCGGCATTTGAGTCACTAGCTGACAAGGGAGTGTCTTATGACTCTAGGTCAGACACAGATGCAGATGACTTACCTATTAAATTGTTAATTCTATTTGAAGCTGGTCCTCAAGAGCAGTCATTTCCCCAAATTTAACATATCAATGCTCATTAACCCACCTTTAAACCGATGACCTCAATGAATTGTACCATTAATGGCATTTCCTTCTCCTCTTACCGAAGGGGAGCAGAAACAGGCCTGGACTCCAAGTGTTGAACCCACAAAGCAAAACGACCTACCACTTGGGGTGGAGGTGACTTGCTGTCCCTTTTCTCATCATTTTGGGAAGCGAGGGGTGTGGACCAGGATTCTCAGGAGGTCAATTTCCCGAACCCCCTCCCCCTGCATGCTGGGCTCACACTACTTGCTTCAGTCCCCCTTGAGTGGTCTTGCTGTTTGGGTTTTGTTTGTGTGTGTGTTTTGCCTATGACTCTGAGAAATAATCGGGAAGGGGAGACAGAAAGTCTTGGTCTCTGTGAACAAGCACAATGTTGCTTTCAGCTTAAATATCCACTGGAAAACCTCAAGGTTTTCAATGTCATCATTATGGAAAACACAGATTACAAAAGAAAATAATTTAATGTCACTCCTGGCCCCTATTGGGATTCAGTTTGACCTCAGTTTATCTTTTCTTGGTGGGTTTTGAGTCTTGAGAAAATTTGCCTAAGAATGAAGAATCCAAAAAGGATATGGTAGGTCTGGGCTTCGGCTGGTGGGGTGGAACAGAGGTTTAAATCTGGTACCTGGTGAAACTGCCGTATCTGGTCACGCAGTACCTGGGTATTGTTTCTTCTTTCCTTCTACCCCACTCGGATGACTCTCAGTCGCTGATTTAGGAGCAACTCCTTCCCTGGGATGCGGTGGCCTTAGAGCTGCGGGCGCGCGAGCAGCCCCGCCCCGATGACCTGCTTCCCCTTCAATCTTTGATCTCCCCAGTGGAAACGCGCCCGGGCGCCT